CTTGGCCCCACTGCTGGCTGGGTGACATGTCTGCCATAGCCCCATTGCTGGCATAAAACTGCTATCCCAGCAATGGGGCTCAGGCAGCCATGTCACCCAGCCAGCAGTGGGTCAAAGGAACCGGTGGTGGGAAGGGGCAGCAGGCTGAGGTTGCTCACGCGTCCCACTAATTTCTTCTGGACCCACTGCCATGGCACCAACCCCACTGCTAGGTGGCACATGGCCCTAGCTGATCTGCCCTGGTCCCAGCTAAGTTGCAGCGGTGGCACCAACTCCACTGCCAGCCGGCACCAACCCTGCTGCCAGGCTGACATGCCTGGGCTGTCCTGGCCATAGCTGGGTTGCCAGGCTGCCACTGCCTCACTATCACAACCCCACTACTGCCGCCGGGCTGCTGAGCCCTGTCCCCATTACCACCAGCCTCACTGTGCACAGGGCTCTCAGCTGTTGGCCCTCCTGCCCCATGGCGCTCTCATTCAGGAACATCGGTGGTCTTGTAGGACCACAGATGTTGCCAGACGGAAGAGTCCCGGTTTTGGGTGGTGCAACCTATAGTTCTAATGGGCTTCACGAAAGTCCCAGTCAGCCCTTTTTGGTTACAGCAGCATAGGCTCTTGGGGGCTGTGCAGAGATGGCAGGGCCTCAGCCTCTGAACTGAACATCTTTCTTACACAGAACAAAAATATTGCAATAGACCTTAAGCACAAAATAGCAAAATTTTCATTAATGCCTGGTGGATCTCCATGCATTTCAGTGCTGTTGCATGGATGCAAATGGCAGCAGAATTTGGCTCATTTCCATTAGTAATCAGTACATAAAACTGTGAATGGTGATTGTATAACTAGGGCCACAGTAATTTGACTGAGCTCCAAAAACAACAATCTTAAAATAAGTTTTTGTGTGAAACAAAAGCTTTTAATTAGTGCTTGTATTCTATTAGAATACATATTCATAGATTTTAAAGGGCACAAGAAGTCATTATAAACCTCTGGCCTGATCCCATTCTGTTATGTTGTTATTCATTCCTTTCTCCTGCCTCTCTGGATTTTAGATGTAATTGAACCCACCAGTTATTTTAGGATTAGTGGTTAGGCTCTTCAGTTATGGACGGGTGGATTTCCCAAAAACATGCCTAACGTAGGATGTTCAGTTGTGTTACTGCCACCAAAAAGTGATCCAAATTCACAAGCTTTGCTTGAATGGAAAGGGCTAGTAAGAAGGGTTCAGTAAAAATCAGTATTTACTTACCTCTTTGAACTTCTTTGTTGGGTTTTTTTTTTGTCCTTTGTTTTTTTACAGAGTGCAAAAGGATAGAAAGATTAGACGTTGTGTTTGTGATAGATGAATCAGGAAGCATAAGTCGCGAACAGTACGAGACCATGAAAGAGTTCATGATCACTTTGGTAAAAAAATCTGATGTCGCTCCAGACAGAGTTCAATTTGGAGCAGTAAAATATTCTGATGAACCAACAATGCTTTTCTACCTTAACGAGTACAATGCAAAATCCAAGATTGTGGAGGCTATCCAGAAAGACACATCTCGAGGAGGCTCAACGTATACAGCCAAGGCAATTGCCTACGCAGAATCTCTATTTGCTAAGGAGCATGGTAGCCGCAAAGACAAGGGAGTTCCCCAGATTCTTATAGTGATAACAGACGGTGTCTCCCATGATACCGCACAGCTCAATGACACAGCCAAGAGATTAAGAGACAAGGGGATTATTATCTATGCTGTTGGGATAAAAGACGCAAATTCTGGTGAGCTTTTGGGCATGGCTGGTTCAGAAGACAAATATTTCTATGTGGATACATTTGAAGGACTCAAAAACACATCAGTAGTAGTATCTGATACAGTATGTGGTGATTCAAAACCAGGTAAGTGTTTGTTTTACTATTCTAGACCATTTAAACTTTCCTCATTTTATTTAAAAATTGGCAAAGATGGGGAGGCACATTTCTAATATTTCAAAGCAAAAAAAAAATGGGTTGTGCCCACCAAAGCTCATGATACTAACTATATTTTTGATAGTTTCTAAGGTGCTATGGGACCACTCATTTTTTAAGCTTTTTTTTTAAGCTACAGACTAACAAAGCTACCCCTGAGAATTTTAAAGCAAAGTGTGTATATATCTAACTTTCTATAGTAAAATGCAGGACTATGTAGCACTTTAAAGACTAACAAGATGGTTTATTAGATGATGAGCTTTCGTGGGCCAGACCCACTTCCTCAGATCAAATAGTGGAAGAAAATAGTCACAACCATATATACCAAAGGATACAATTAAAAAAAATGAACACATATAAGGAAAACAACACTTCAAAAAGAAGGGGGGGGAGGGGGGGGGGGGGGAGGAAGGAAGGTAAGTGTCTGTGAGTTAATGATATTAGAGGTGGGGAAAGTTAGATGTCTGTGAGCTAATGGTATTAGAGGTGATAATTGGGGAAGGTAGTTGGGGTCTGATATCTGTTTTGACACTTCGCCAAAGGATTAATGCCCACAAAACAGATATCAGACAAGATCACAAAGAAAAAACAGTTTCTTGCCATTTTAACCAGAAAGGACACTCTCTCAATGACTTAACCACCTGCATTCTGCTACAAAGACCTTTTACATCTGCACTTGAAAAGGAATCCTCTGAACTGTCATTCATGTTAAAATTCGACACTCTCCAAAAAGGAATGAACAAACACTCGAACTATCTTACCCATTACCAAGATAGCTTCCCCAATTATCACCTCTAATACCATTAACTCACAAACATCCCACTCTCCCCACCTCTAATATCCTCTCCTCCCCTCCCCCCCCCCCCCCCTGCATCCCCCTTCTGTTCTGAAATGTGATTTGTCCTTTTCATATGTGTTCATTTTTTGGTATCCTTTTGTATCCTTTGGTATATATGATTGTGATTATTTTCTTCCACTATTTGATCTGAGGAAGTGGGTCTGGCCCACGAAAGCTCATCATCTAATAAACCATCTTGATAGTCTTTAAAGTGCTACATAGTCCTGCATTTTGCTTCAGCTACACCAGACTAACACGGCTACATTTCTATTACTAACTTTCTATAGTATTCTTTTCTTTTTTGCCAGCCAAGCTATGGGCAGACAGGGAAGTTCCTTAAGTTTATCCTTACTTGATCTTATAATTGAGGATTTTCATGCCTTAAATGGTTGATATTCTTGTTAGTTTGTTCAGGTTCAAAACCTTAATGAAGGTAAAATTAGGGCATTAACCTTTCATTTTAAAAGGCCTAAGTTCCAGTTTTAGTTTGATTAGACTAGTTAAAGGGATGGCCGATTATTTATATCACAAAAGCATCACATGTTTGTCCTGGTTGATGAGCTCCATTGATGAAAAAGGTAAGAAAAGGCTATTAGGGGGCTATTGCAAGTGGCAATGGAAATGCCATGCAATTATGAGGATATTTACACCTTGAAGACTGCTCAGTGACATCTTCTAGTCCAAGAGTTCTCAAACTGTGGGTCGGGACCCCAAAGTGAATTGTGATCCTATTTTAATGAGTTCACCCAGGCTCATGTTGGTCATGACCTAGGGCTGTCTCTAGGGAGGTGCAGGGCCCAGGGCAACCCCCCCTCTCCCTCGAAGACTCTACCCCCACTCAAGACTCTACCCTTCTTCCAAGCCCTGCCCCTGCCCTCCCCTGCTCCACCGCCTCCCACTCCTATTGCACTCCTTGACTGAAGCACTCTCCCCAACATGACATGAGTTGAGGAATTACCAGGGAGTCTGGCGCAAGGTGGTAACAGGAGTCACCCTCCCCTCACCACAGCAGGAAAAAAAGAATCAACAGGATGTGTGCAGAACCAGAAAAACAATCATACATTATCTGGTATAGGGATGTAAAAGATTAGTCGACTATCCGATAAACATTTGCTTATCAGATAGTCTTTTGACTAATCGACTAGTTGATGTCCCCCCACTCCTTTGCTGCCTCTATGAAATAGAGGCAGGAAAGGGGAACAGGAAGGGGTACTTCCATTGACTAGTCAATTAACCGCATTTTAACATCCTTAGTCTAGTACTTGCAAGCCTTGGACCTGCTCTCACCTTCCCCTGCTTCCTTTGTTCCTTAGTCTTCTCTCTAATGATATTGAAAACACTTTGAGGGCAGGGATACTAGTTTTTCCTTGACTATATAGATCTAATACAATATGAGCAATTTATAAATAATAAGCTATTTTCCTTTTCAATTTCAGAGTGTGAAATTAAAGCAGATCTTGTTTTCTTGATTGATGGCTCCAATAGTATAGATCCAAATGACTTCATCAAGATGAAGAAATTCTTGGAATCTGTAATCGATCTGATTTTTTATGAACACAATGTTCAAGTTGGCATTGCCCAGTACAGTGACTTGTATAAAAAAGAAGTCGACCTAGGTGCTTTTCCAGGCAAAACAGAACTGAAAGCTCGAATTCAGAACATTAAACAGATTACAGGATATACTTTAATTGGAAGTGCACTTACAAATGTGAAGGAATTCTTTGCCCCGTCAGGCAGCAAAAGAGCAACAAGAAATGTTCGACCAATTTTGCTGGTACTCACTGATGGGGAGTCACAGGATAATGTTGCTGAACCAGCAGAAAATCTGAGAAAGCAAGGTGTTGATATGTATGCTATAGGAGTTGGGAATATTAATGACTTCCAGCTCATGCAGATAGCTGGTGCTGCAGAAAGGAAGTACACTGTCGATGATTTCAGTAAGCTGAAGAGCATTAAAAAAAGATTAGTTGACGATGTATGCAACCCTGTTGTTCCTACAAGTAAGTATAAATGACTAAGGGGGGAATTTAAATTTCAGTTCTGGACTCGGGTCCCACCTCTAGAGCTATTTTTCTTCAAATATGCTCTGTTTTGACCATCACTGAGGACGACTGCTGAAAGCCAAGTTTGAATGTTCTAGCTACAGCACTTATAAATTACTCTGGCCCAAAATGAATGACTAGAACATGCAGAGGAAATGCTTCATTTACATGCTCCGTAACACAAAAAACACTGCCCCTGTTTGGTTCTGACTTTCAAAATAATCTAGGGGATCATGCACTTTGTTGCTTTTACAGGCCAAGATCACTGCATGCACCCAGGGGCTCCTAGCATTCATCTGTCCCCACACCCCACAAACTCTATGTGCTCCTCTCCCATTACCCTCTATTTCTGGGATTCACTGCAACCCCATCCTCCATGGCAGGGGCTCTGTTTCATTCATATCTTTGTCCTCTATTCTCCTCCTCTCACATCAGGGGCTCTATGATTCCCTCCCCCTCACCCCACACACACATACCTCCAGTTTCCTCTTCTCTCCTCAGCATTCTTTTTTCTTCCTGTCAGCGAGATAAATAATTACAGATTTGGCTGAAGTTGCCTATTCAAAGTTAGCTGTTCAAAAGGAGATGCCAGTTCAAACGTTGTTTGTATTTCACCCAAACAGTCAGAAGAATGCCATCAAGTTGATGGTAGGGTCCTGCTGCCCACCCCTTGCCAGCCTTCAGGGGTGCCTGGAGCTCCCCATTTATTAGTATTGACCTACATACGAAATAGAATTGACAGCATGACTTCTAGGTGTATTGAATAGATTATTAGTATAGATAGCATGATTGACTCTAAGAACATCTTTCAGTACAATGCACTGATAAAGTGCTAAGTTTCATTCTGTTTAGCTGCTGGGTTTGGGTTGGGGAATAATATGAAACTGAGTCCAGTTTTGCTCTGATAGAAGTAAACAACAAAACTCGCCTCAACATCAGTGAGAGTACAATTTGTTAAATGATTCAGATGAACAAAATAATTGTAACTTCAAAATACTTTTTCAGTTCATTACAATTACTATGTTTGGAAGTGTTTCCCTTTTCTTTTCAGCAGAAGTACGTAAACTAAGGCAATTTTATTCCTGATGTAAAAGATGAATTCAGGTTAAATTTGGTTTACATATAGTTTAAAGAACTTAAAGACCTGTCTGTACATATTGGAAAAATAACACAGCGGGGCACAGACTATCCAATAAGTTATTTGACTGCATTGCATTCTTTTTATTTCAGAAGGTTGAAAAAGCTACCGGAGGGAAGCTGTTCTAGATTTGATCTTATCAAATAGGGAGGAACTGGTTGAGAATTTGAAAGTGGAAGGCAGCTTGGGTGAAAGTGATCATGAAATTATAGAGTTCACAATTCTAAGGAAGGGTAGAAGGGAGAACAGCAAAATAGAGACAATGGATTTCAGGAAGGCGGATTTTGGTAAGCTCAGAGAGCTGATAGGTAAGGTCCCATGGGAATCAAGACTGAGGGGAAAAACAACCGAGGAGAGTTGGCAAGATAGAAAATATGGCAAAAGACTGCCTTGGCTTACCCAAGAGATCTTGCAGGATCTAAAAATAAAAAAGGAGGTATATAAAAAATGGGAAGTAGGACAAATTACAAAGGATGAATATAGACAAACAACACAGGAATGCAGGGGCAAGATTAGAAAGGCAAAGGCACAAAATGAGCTCAAACTAGTTACAGGAATAAAGGGAAACAAGAAGACTTTTTATAAATACATTAGAAGCATGAGGAACACCAAGGACACGATAGGTCCACTGCTCAGTGAGGAGGGAGAAACAGTAACAGGAAACTTGGAAATGGCAGAGATGCTTAATGACTTCTTTGTTTCAGTCTTCACCGAGAAGTCTGAAGGAATACCTAACATAGTGAATGCTAGTGGGAAGGAGGTAGGTTTAGAAGATAAAATAAAAAAGAACAAGTTAAAAATCACCTACAAAAGTTAGATGCCTACAAGTCACCAGGGCCTGATGAAATGCATCCTAGAATACTCAAGGAGCTGATAGAGGCGGTATCTGAGCCTCTAGCTATCATCCTTGGAAAATCATGGAAGACAGGAGAGATTCCAGAAGACTGGAAAAGGGCAAATGTAGTACCCATCTATAAAAAGGGAAATAAGAACAACCCAGGAAACTACAGACCAGTTAGTTTAACTTCTGTGCCAGAGAAGATAATGGAGCAGGTAATTAAGGAAATCATCTATAAACCCTTGGACAGTGGCAAGGTGATAGGGAAAAGCCAGCATGGATTTGTAAAGAGCAAATCATGTCAAACCAATCTGGTAGCTTTCTTTGATAGGATAACGAGCCTTGTGGATAAGGGAGAAGCAGTGGATGTCATATACCTAGACTTTAGTAAGGCATTTGATACGGTCTCACATGATATTCTTATCAATAAACTAGGCAAATACAACTTAGATGATATTTAGGGGCTACTGTAAGGTGGGTGCATAACTGGCTGGATAACCATACTCAGAGAGTAGTTATTAATGGTTCACAATCCTGCTGGAAAGGTATAACAAGTGGGGTTCCACAGGGGTCTGTTTTGGGACTGGCTCTCTTCAATATCTTCATCAACGATTTAGATATTGGCATAGAAAGACGCTTATTAAGTTTGCAGATGATACCAAACTGGGAGGGGTTGCGACTGGTCTGGAGGATAGGGTCATCATTCAAAATGATCTAGACAAATTGGAGAAATGGTCTCAGGTAAACAGGATGAAGTTTAATAGGAGGGGTTGCGACTGCTCTGGAGGATAGGGTCATAATTCAAAATGATCTGGGCAAATTGGAGAAATGGTCTGAGGTAAACAGGATGAAGTTTAATAAAGACAAATGCAAAGTGCTCCACTTAGGAAGGAACAATCAGTTTCACACATACAGAATGGGAAGCGACTGTCTAGGAAGGAGTACGGCAGAAAGGGATTTAGGGGTTATAGTGGACCACACACTGAATATGAGTAAGCAGTGTGATGCTGTTGCAAAAAAAGCAAACATGATTCTGGGATGCAGTAACAGGTGTGTTGTGAGCAAGACATGAGAAGTCATTCTTCCGCTCTACTCTGTGCTAGTTAGGCCTCATTTGGAGTACTGTGTCCAGTTCTGGGCACCACATTTCAATAAGGATGTGGAGAAAATGGAGAGGATCCAGAGAAGAGCAACAAGACTGATTAAAGATCTAGAGAACATGACCTATGAAGGAAGGCTGAAAGAATTGGGTTTGTTTAGTTTAGAAAAGAGAAGATTGAGGGGGGATAGGATAGCAGTTTTCAGGTATCTAAAATGGTGTCATGAGGAGGGAGAAAACTTGTTCATCTTGGCCTCTGATGACAGGACAAGAAGCAATGGGCTTAAACTGCAGCAAGGGAGGTTTAGGTTAAACACTGGAATAAATTGCCCAGGGAGGTTGTAGAATCTCCATCTCTGGAGATATTTAAGAGTAGGTTAGATAAATGTCTATCAAGGATGGTCTAGTCAGTACTTGGTCCTGCCATGAGGGCAGGGGACTGGACTCGATGACCTCTTGAGGTCCCTTCCAGCCCTAGTATTCTACGATTCTATGATTGATCTGCCAGCTATTGTCTTATTTTCCTGTTCATATCTGACTGTATTATACTATTACCATTATTCTTTCGCTTAAGCTCTGTCCACCTCTTTTTCTCTTTTTTTCCACCTAAATTTCTTTGTGCATTAATCTATGATATTTTGTTTTGTATTCTTCCCTACTATAGCTTGTTTTGTGGATATTGTTGTGGGATTTGATATCTCTTCGCAAAAGAGAGGTGACCATTTATTTGATGGACAGTTCCAGTTGAAAACATATCTCCCTGGCATTCTGAAAGCTCTTACATCCTTAAGTAGTCTGAGTTGCAATGTAGGAACAAAGACACAGAGCAGTGTGGCTGTTTATCTGAGCAACACACTTACACCTGGGTCTTCAAAGTTCGAAATTGACAGCGAGAAAATTCTGAACATCCTAAGAAATCTCACCATCAATACAACATCTTATCTCAATAGCAACTTTCTGGAGTCGCTTTGGAAAACATTTACAAGCAATTCTGATGATCAGAATCGAAAGAAGGTAATCTAGTCTCTTACTTTTGGCCTGAAGTCTCTTTGTAAGTTGTTTTAATTCTGCTTTTGAGTTCCTGTGATTTGAAACTGCCTATCTTCCTTTAGGTTTTACTTGTATTTTCAGATGGTTTGGATGAAAATGTGGAAAAACTTGAACAAAAGTCAGAAGAACTCAGAAAGAAAGGTATTTTAAGGTGGACAAATGCTTACATTACTTTGGGAGAATTTATAAGAATGTTATGCAACCCAAAGCTCTTGTGCTGAAGAAAGGCAGGGGAAAAGGGACGGAAGAAAAGCTAAAACTTTCCTTTTAGCAGCCAAGACATTACATCAGGGGATGCTATATGAAATGGAGATGGAGAATGCCACTAATTCAGAGTGTTATGTCCTAACCCTGCTTTGCATTGTTTGACTGAAGCTTCAGTGCATGATGGGGCGCAATAACCCACAGTCATCACCAAGTGATGCAATGTCATGAAATAAATATAAGAAGAGCAACAGATTTATTCAGCACCTGTCACTGGGACCAGAGTTCAGAAGGGCTCAGCATGGCGAACCTGAGACTGTAGTGCTGGCGGCTTGATTCTCAAATGGTCACAAGCACCCAATGTGCCTCGTGAGCCCTTGTGGAAATCTGGCTACTTACTCTGCTGTATACACAGGAGCTGAGCACTTCTCAGTGTCTAGCCCACTGTGTGGGTGCTGAGCTCTTCTGAAATGTCTGGCCGTGATACTGGGATATTTGTTTCCAGTCTCCTGTATTTCACTGTTGGATTTATCACAGCTGATGATCTAGCCTAGTGTGTTTCTTCTCTTCAGCTTTAAACTCCGTTTCAGTACAAGACAGTGTTGTTATGAAAATTAAAAACTTGGCTTCAGGTGAAAGACTAAAATATCCTGGAAATAATTGTGCCAACAGCCACAGTAGCTTCATGCTCAAGCTTCACTCAGAGAATTCATTCCATAGTTGCTTCTGATTCTGGATTGCCATTGGCTCATTTAATTTCTGTAAATTAATTATGGACTCTTAAAAGTAACATGTGAAGATAAATTATTATTTTCATTCTCTAATCTATAATCTTTATTTTTAGCCTTATAATAAACTGAACTCCTGCACACAAAGGTTCCATCAACCAGATAATTGTCTAAGATTTTCATTTGAATAATTTTTGTGTTATGTTTTGCTCACTTATGATCAATGTTTTAAATAGGCTTGAATGCACTGATAACGGTTGTTCTGGAAAGAGCCTCTAATTCTCATGAGCTTCAGTATATTGAGTTTGGAAGAGGATCTGAATACAATAACCCACTAACCATAGACAAGCAAAATATTGCCAACGCTCTAGCCCTCTCTGTGGTAAGTCATTCAGAGAAGCTCCAGTGTTTAGATAGAGATTTGATGGAGGCCCTAGCCATTTTCTTGAAGAACTGAACGGGCCTGATGCCTGAGAAGAGTTCAATAGTCAGGGAGGGCAAGATTCTCTGGTATGTTCAGGCTGCTTCGTGCCCAAGCTGGTGTCACAAACCAGGCCTAGAGTCATCGTGCTTAGCCATCTGTAGTGTCCTGCCACGTAAAAGAATCTTCTAGTGTAACTGGAGAAGCCCCCTTAGCCTGGCAACTGCTGGAGCAAGGACTGTGGCTGGTGAAAAGAGGGGATAGCCCAACAATTCCTCATGGCTGGAATGTCCTCTTGGAGTATTGGACTGCTGGTATAAAACAGAGCAGCGTTGGGGACCAGCTCTTGTTATCAGATAGCCCCAGTTTCAGGGTGCTGCAAAGGCCTGCTGCACTGGTTGCTGTTCCACCACCGCTGAGAAATCAGCCTGGAGAAGGAAAGACATAATCATGCTCCTCCTGAATTAAATGCAAAACCCTCAATGTCTTAAAAGTGCTCTGGATAAGGGAAGTATGTATGAAAAATGAGGCTATTTCTTCTTCTTTTCAAGCGCAACATGGCTGAAAGGATATGCTGTTCAGTGCCTTGCATGTGCATTGGGGACGGAGGTGCAGCTGGCTACCGAGGGGGACAAGGAGATAAAGTAAGGATGTTTTTGTGACACTTCACTTAGATTGTAATTGTACAGAGGCCAACCAAGGCCAGGGAAATTCAAATGTTGGAGCTTTATAAGATTTGTATTGCCTTTGCTTCTATCTGTTCTCCAGAGTTTGTCTACCCTTTAAATGCTACAGTTATGCTGCTGTAGTACTTCAGTATAGATACTACCTACTCTGACAGGTGGGATTATTCTGTCCAAATAGGCAATCCACCTCCCTGAGAGGCAGTAGTTCGGTTGATCAAACAGCATATCTGAGGGTTTTTTAATATATATTGAATTGGTTCCTAAAGGCATTAAAATAATCTGAGGTGAACAAACAAAAATACTAAATACAGCATAAAAGACCTGTTGTACATTGCTAGCTGGCACAACGATACTAAAAAAGTATATTCTAGTAAGCCTAGCTGGGTAAAATCAAACCAGCTGTAAAGTTACAAGACAATAGTGGCCTTTCTTCTGTTTTTAACAGGGTTTTTTTAAAATTGTCATTTAAAAAAAAAAGTCAAGATTCCACACTTTGTTAATGTTTAGCACTCTTTTAGGTGACTTAGACACTTCTTTTATAATTCCTAAAAGATGCTGGGATATTAAGGAATTAAAACAATCTGTCTCTGAAGTTTATCTTGCTGTGCATTGTTGAACTCATTTTTCCAAATTTTTAAGAGTGCTTTGAATATACAGTCAACAATGGAATGAAATTTGCAATGACCAAACTAAAACTGCTGTTTGCAAACTTGTTCCTAAATAAAGTACCATATCAGGATAATCCTTAAGGTTTACCTATTTTTTAATTAAGGAGAATTTTGGTATTTGTCTTTACTTTTACTATCTGAATTTCAGGGAGCTAAAGGTGTAAAAGGCCATGCAGGACACTTAGGAGAAGACGGAGAGCTGGTATGTTATAAAACTTGACTCCATTTTACTAAAATGAAAATACTTCAAAACCAAGTGCCCACAAAGATTTTTATTTTGTCAGTATGAAAAAATAATGTAATAAACTCATAGGAAAAGAGTGATTTCCAAATCTTGATTCCAAATAAATTCTTGCCATAAAATAAAATTGTCACGTTTTAAAAAACTGTCAAGATTCAACACTTTGTCAATGTTTAATACTCTAGAATTGTAAGTAACTTAGAATCCCTTTTTTTTGTTTAATTTTCAAATGAAATTGGGGATCTCTTGGAGATGAATTTGCATAAATTCTTAATTAAAAAATCCTATTGGTCTATATGAGAATGCAAGAGTTATAATTTTTCCAAATATTAAGAAATTAAAATGATTCTTCCCTGACTTCCTGCTTTAGTACACGGGTGAGGTTTCTTGACTTCTCAAGGTAACTTCCAGGTCTATATTTCTATGGTTCTATAAACTAAGGCTAAAGAGAGAAATCTAATTTTTGTCACGTAAGTAGGCAAGTATTTGCATGCCAATTACATACTTACTTTGCACATGTACTAGTCAATGTATGTGTATAAATTGGTGCACAAGCATTCTTGTAGAGTTACCTAGTTAGTTAGGAACTTATTGAGCCATATATTTATATAGAAATCCCCAATAGTGTACAAAGTAGGTAAGCATTTGCATGCACGAGGATGCTACCACATTGACTATTGTAATTTTTTGGTATTGGCAAGCTGCTAAGGCAGAAGAAAGACACTAGGAAACATCTTCTGCCCATGTGCACAACTCTCATTTATAAATAATTGGATTTCACGCCTTCTGTCTTTCCACATACACGTCTTGATTCACATTAGATTACTCCACTTTTACACCAGTGTATAACTTTAACTTCAATGCAGTACACGGGCATAACACTGAGTAATGGAATGGTGACACTAGCCAAGTTTACACGAGAGGGCAGTGTTGAACTAAGGCATGCAATTCCGGCTATGTAAATATTGTTGCTGGAGTCGACATTCCTTAGTTCGACTTACCACAGCATCCCCACTGTGGAGGGGTCTTAACTGTCAGCTACCCTGACTTGTTCCGGAGGAGTCCCAAAGTCGATGGGAGTGTGATTAACAGTTGATTTAGAGGGTTTTTACTAGACTTGCTAATCAACCCAGCCTCAGGCCCATTTAAAGGAGACAGTATTTTCAGTTTTGACTATTTCTGTTTCAGATTGAAAAACCCAAATGATAACACAAATATTATCCATCCTATTTTCCACTCTCTTCAACCATACCTGGGAAAGATGTGGCTGTGGGGTTACCGCTTGTAGCAGAATATGCACGGGTGAATTAAGATAGCAAATATGCATGAATGTGGGTCTGACGAGTTAAACGGCATGAGTAGCAACATGAGAAGTACACCAGAGAAACTATTCTAGCATTTTCTGAGAGGCCAATTAAATCATATTTAATGTTTAACTTGGGTTCACAATACTATGGAGCAGCTTCCTGGCCCCACTTGTTTTGCATGGCTCAGGTGGAGCAAAGATGCAGATGCTGCCTCATCTCCCCTTCTGGGGAGAGGATGAGTCACAAGAGGATGCAGAGCCAGCAAAGTTGGCTCCTGCACCATGTCATGCTCCTGTGTAACTGAGAGAAGAATTCAGCCTTTGCACTGTGCTCACTGAAGAAAAACTGAAGAAAGCCTGTGGGTTTTTTGTCCAGTGGACCTAGGTCTTTAATGAAGCAACATTCTCCCCAGTCCTCCTCCCACCTCACCCTCCCTCTCTGAGCAGGAACTCTCTAAGCAGAGGAGTAGTAAGAGCAGAATGAGGGGAAGTGCCCACCACTATTCATAACGGAGCTGAGTAACATCAGTGAGCACTTTGCATTTTTTAGTTTAGCACTTTTGTTTGCAGTCTGCAGACGGATGAGATTACTTTTTCATACTAAGTTGAAAAACATACGTAACCATCTGCAGCTTGCAGTGTTTTGTAAGCACTTTGGAGAGGAACTACTGTGTTTTTAACTGTATACACACTGAACTCAACCTGTTGCTTCTCGGGCTTCTGAAACATCTCGCTCAGGCAGGGCTTGCTCAGAGATTTACCGTATTCATTATCATACACACTCCTTTTCCAGTGTTACATTATCTCATGAATAGAGTCACCCTCTGATCAAATATATGATCACTCTCCTCACAAATCTTATACTTCATTTAGTAGGCAGAATATACTAAGTTATTCTTCATTCTTTCTCTTTCAGGGTTCAAGAGGACTAACTGGGCTGCCGGGAGAACAAGGGATTAAGGGATGCGAGGGTAGTAGAGGTCTTAAAGTAAGAATCTACTGCTAACATAATTTTAACTTAACAAAATGTCTTTGCATTTACTGTTTATTTAACTCATTCAAGCAAATATCTGTTGTAATTCTTTTCAGGGATACCGAGGAATATCTGGTCAAAAGGTACAGTACTGATACTTACGTTCTGAAAAAACTTTGTTTTGATCTGACTACAAATCAGACGAGGTGGTTGAAAGCATAAATAAGAAATGAAAGTGCATTGGAGGAGGAGGAAGAAGAGAAAAAAGGTGTACCCTCACCTTCATCTAGACACAGAGTTTGAAGATCTTTGGTATGAATCTGATGGTGTTTATAGGCTCAGTTCTGTGGTCTTTACCCAAGTGTAGATTTGTTGACTCTCAAGAGAATAGAATCAGTTCCTAAATGATTTTTGGGTTAATCACATTTCAAATTATTTGTGTTTAATTCAGGGATCAAGAATTAAATTATAGAAATATTCACGTATTATTTAGAATATAATTTAATGTGCCCCGTTAAGAAAAAAGAACAGTCATTAAAAACAGAATACAGATCACTGTTGAGACTTCCATGTAACATAAAGAGAGATAAATGTACTGGAAAGACATAAAAGTTGGGTAACATTTTGATTTTCAGCCTGTATTTCTTACCTTTCTTTGTGTTGGCAATTATTAAACATGTTGGTGTCTTTCCCCTCAGTCAATTTAATCGTCACTTCATCTCTGCAAGTCTATCTGGCCTTAAAGCTAACCAGTTGCACATCAAAGTAAAATAAATGCTCAGTTACACTTGTTAAAGCCCATGAGAGTTTTTGCCATGAACTTCAGTGGGTCTACTTATTAGGGTTTTAATCCTTTTTAGTATGTTTTTGAGGGATGGCCACAATGTCTATTCTACTATTGTACTTAGGGCAGATGTAAACAATGAGTAATTAAGCATTAATGTGTATGTTTTCAAATCTGTGGGTGGCCTTTGTTTTACTGGTCAGTTACAGGAGTTCACAAGGGCTGTGTCTAGACTGCAGGCTTCTTTCGAAAGAGGCTCTTTCGAAAGCATCTTTCGAAAGAGCCTCTTTCGAAAGATCGCGTCTAGACTGCAGGCGGATCTTTCGATAGAGGAAATCCGCTTTTTCGAAAGAGAGCACCCAGCGAGTCTGGATGCTCTCTTTCGAAGACGGCCTCTTTACATTGAAGAACGCCTTCCTTCGAAAGAGGAACTTTCGAAGGAAGGCGTTCTTCCTCGTGAAACGAGGTTTACCGCCATTGAAAGAAAAGCCGCGTTCTTTCGAAATAATTTCGAAAGAACGCGGCTTGAGTCTGGATGCAGGGGAAGTTCTTTCGAAAAAAGGGTACTTTTTTCGAAAGAACCCCTGAGTGTGGACACGGCCAAGGATACTAGCTTTGCTAGACTGAGAACACATAGTGGTTCTTTAGATCAGTGGATCTTATATAATCCCTGTCACTTTTGCTACCTCAGGGAAACCAAGGGGACAACGGGATTGATGGAGTTAATGGAGAGCAGGTAAATTGTTTTGCTTCTGATTTGCTGTTGACATCAATGAATGTTTTTAAATGAGAAAACCTTACTTGTTTTTCTTTTCATTAAGGGATCACTTGGGCATCCAGGAATAAAAGGAGAAAAGGGTGACCTAGGCAACATGGTAATGTTTTCCACTATTATCTTCTTTGGTCAGGGTTTAGATGTGAGAGCAATTAGATGGGTATCTCATGAGGTCGCCCCTTTGGAAAAAATTTAGCTACATACCTTCTGATGGGAAACAGCCTTATGCAGTATTGCAAATTTACTAATGTGTCTCAGCTTACTGGAACAGGCATGAAAACACAGTTGACGTAATTCACGCTGTATTAGAAACGGGATAAGCCATTTCTATTTCATTTTGAAGATATTTTTTGCTCGAAATTATCAATTGTAAAGTTGTTCAGATGAAGCGTTTCTACTTCAGTCGTGATATTTTCAAATTCTGCATTTGTTCTAACTTTTCTTGGCACCAAAGATTCCCCTTTAAGGCCAGAATTAAGCTATGTTCAGTGGCAAAAAAAAATCTACGTTAATGGAGAGTTAAGGTTATTTGGTGGAATGTTGTTTCCTTGCAGAATGTTGAGCTAAGAAAAACTCAAACTCCAGAAAAGAAAGAAATCGAGAGGTTGGGTTGCATGTGCAGCCTCATTCAGCAATGCCCCTGTGTGCCCCATTAATAGCACGTAATAGATAGCATGTAATAGCTTGGTAGATAATTGATCTGAACATATGGTCATTCTTATGTTCTGAAATAAACATCGTTTACATGTGGCAACTTTTTCATTTTGAATAAGAGTTTCAAGCTGTTGATTGAAATGTACTTTTTGTACAGATATCAGTGGTGGGGAATCTGACAGCTAAAGATCATCCTTTGTCAGAACGTAGTTACTGAACGTGTTTAATTGCAATTGTAGTAACTATTTTAGGTTTAATAATATTGCAGTCAGTGTTCCCTCTCAGCTGAGCACTTGGGTGGCCACCCGGGAGAGACTCAAATGCTGCCCAGCTGATTAGCAGAGGGGCCACATCTGGCAGCATGTGTTTCTACTGGTGGCGCACATCTGCGTATGCCTTGATGCACATCATAAAATTTATTTTGCACATGGATGGAAAAAGTTAGAGGAAATACTGATTGCAAGTAGCTTTTTTCTTTGTGCCAAAAGAAAATAAAGAATTTGTTGCTGTTTTGTTTAGACATGAGCCTGAACCAATATTAAGAGACAAACAACTTTCCTAATCAAATTGTGGTCTGGAACCACACAAAATGCAAACAAACCTGAATGGGGTGTGTGTATCATAATCTGTATTAAAATGCTGGGACTTGTTTCTATTCTTTTGTTAGCATCCTTATGAAATGTTTAGATTCTCACTCAGCCATGTTACGATTTCAGGGCAATCCAGGGCCAAGAGGACCCTTTGGTGACCGTGGTGAGAAGGGCTTCCGAGGAGATCCTGTAAGTTATTCTAGGTGCAAATCAATTATATATCATACCTTTATGACTCTATGGGATTCACCCAGACTAGATGGGGGTGGGGCGATTGTCACTGCCTGTTCTTTAAACCTGGGTTTTCTGGGCTGTGCAGCTTTGGCTCAGAGCACTGGCCAGAGCTTGCTCAAAGCACAGTTGCCTCACCCTGGCTTCCACCAGCCTGGTTACTCCTTGCAGGGTGACTCCATCAACTCTTCCAGTCCTGAGTCTTCCCCAAACCATCTCCCCTCCCGTGCCCAGTTCCTCTCACTCGATCCTCACAGAAATGATCAAGTTTTCTGCCTTTGAAAAGCAGAACACATGCCAGCCTGGTGGCTTGGCTGGGGATTTTATCCTTCAGTTTAATACACAGTGCTGAGAGAGTTTTGTAATAACACAAGAATAAGTGTATTAACAAAAAACAGAGATTTAAGCAATAATAAGTAAGTCTAGAAGGGTATGTCTACACTACCCCGCTAGTTCGAACTAGCGGGGTAATGTAGGCATACCGCACTTGCAAATGAAGCCCGGGATTTGAATTTCCCGGGCTTCATTTGCATAAGCGGGGAGCCGCCATTTTTAAAACCCCTCTGGTTCGAACCCCGTGCAGCGCGGCTACACGGGGCACGAACTAGGTAGTTCGAACTAGGCTTCCTAGTTCGAACTACCGTTACTCCTCATTTCACGAGGAGTATTACAAATTCTAGCATTACAAATATATTGTATTTCCTGTTAATTCATATCTTGAATTATCCCTGGACTCTGTGGATTCAGCAGAAGATAATGTATTTCTCATGTAATTCCAATCAGTTGTTTGTTGTTGTTTTGTACTTATTACTATTAGTTTTATAGTAGCACTCCTAATTTCATGAGCATTTTCCACACATTTTTGGTCCCTGCTCCAAGGAACTCACAGTCAAAGGATAGGGACAGACTGATAGGCAGAAGTTAGGGGAATGGGAAGAGAAAGAACAAACAGGGATTTATTGAAATTCAAGTCAGTGAGATGCACTGTAAACAGCATGGAAAAAGTGGGACTTTTAAGGGGGAAAGAGGAATAAGGTAGAATCCTTGCTGATGGCTTCATGAAGGTTGCCTTATGAAACTAGTGGGGCCTCAGAGAAAAGGGCTCTGAGGTGACACTGTGTGAGAAACTGACAGGAGCAGTCCGGGTTGAGAACATTAGTGGGATAAGGGTGGGGGTGGGAGCAGGACACGTTGACACTCCTGAATACACAAGGAGACTCAGAATTCTATGAAGCCAAAGTGGGTGGAGAGTCAGTGCAGGGATTCAATGAGGGGAGTGACACCATCAGATCAGTGGGAAATGAAACTGCATTCTGTATGGTATGATGAGGCCTCACTGAGCAACAAAGCTGTGGAAATTACTGTATAAGGACAGATGTAGATGGTGAGGAGAAAACATCAGGGCAAGTAGGCAGGGCTGCCGTGCACTTCTAGTGTATCCACAGAATGCAGTATCACCTGTGAAATTTCTAATACTGGTGGAGTTTTTTTCATTTTTGTAAGAGGTAACAAAGGATTAACTTGGTGAGTATTTTCTCATTCTTTTTTTCAGGCCCCCATGCAGAAAGATTCTGAGCATCTGCTATAAAATATAAAATGCCATCTGCTCCGCTGGGATATAAATATACTTAACATTTTGTCTTTGTTTAGGGTAACTCTGGATTGAACAATGTCGAAAGGGGGCCTAAGGGTTCAAAAGGAGACTGGGGAAGACAGGTAACTATTTAGAAATATGAGACTTAGTTTACTCTACATTGTTTAAAATACTAACTTACAATCCCTTAAAATCTAGCTAGATACAACACATTAAAATTAATCTGTTGATAGCCAAGATTGTTAAAAACAATATGACAATCCTATCGTTCCTAATTGTGTACCAAACAGTACATCTGAAATCAACAAGATGGTATTCAATAAAGACAAGTGCAAAGTACCACACTTGGGAAAGAAAAGTCAGATGTGCCACTATATAACTGGGAATAGCTGACTAGCATGGGTGGTGGGTGAAGGCCCAGCTGGGGAAGGCAAGCCCCACCCCTACCCTTTCCACCCAAAGCCTGCCCCTGGAGCCAACCTCCACTCACCACCAGCCTGATCCTTCCTGGCCCTCTGGAGGACCCAAGCTGCTATGCAGCAGCCTCAGCCTCAGCCTCAGCCGTTCCCAGTGCCAGGGAGCAGTTGCCGCGCCACTGCCCCATCCCTCCCTGGTAGCCAGGGAGCTGGGCTGCTACGTTGGGCCCCAGCTATTGGCAGCCGTGCATGTGGGCAGTTTGGGGAAGGCCTTGCCTTCCCTTGCCTGCATTACCCACCGCCCAGGTTGCCTAGGTAGTAGTACTGCCAAAAATGGTTTGTCAGGTAAGGTGGATCACAAATTCAGAATTAATCCACCATGCGATTCATTTGCAAAAGTGGTTAATATCATTCTGGGATGTATTTACAGGAGAAGTGTATGTAAGACACAGGTGGTAATTGTCCCACTCTTCTTGGCATTCGTGAGGCCTCAACTCATATACTACATTCAGTTTAAGAAAGTTGTGGATGACCTGGAGGGAGTCCAGATAAAAACAATAAATAAATAAATACAAGGTTCAGAAAACCTGACCTACAAGGAAAAGTTGAACAAACTGGGCGTATATAGTCTTGGGAAAAGAAGACTGAAAGAGGGACCTGATAAGTCGTCAAATAAGTTAAGGGCTCTTGTAAACAGGATGATCATCAATAGTTCTCCAGGTGCACAGAAGATAGGAGAGGAAGCAATCTGGTTACTCTGAAGCAAAGAAGGTTTAGGCTGGATATCAGGAAAAACTTTCTGCTGTAGAAGCAGTTCAGCCCTGGCATAGGCTGCCAAGGGAAGTTGTGGAATCCTCATCCTTGAAGGTTCCCTGTTAGGGATGATCTAGGTTTACTTTGCCCTACCTCAACACATGGGCTAGACTTGATCACCCCCTTAAGTCCCTTCCACTCCTACATTTCTGTAGTTCTCTGATTCTGTCCTTAGGGGTGAACTGATCTCTACACCTCTCACTGGTCCCACTTTTGAAATTCTCCTATTTTTTTAAAAGATGAAAAATGTCATGTACGACATACCTACAATACTGGTTTTTTAAAACATTTATTACAGTAATGAACTTCCACAGATCATCTTCCAAGTGTGTGGGGGGGAGTATTTAAAATGCTTGTCCACTGTCATGACTAGTTGGCTTAAGAATCTGAAACTATGTAAAAAGTTTTGAATTTGAGTAACAATTGAACTATAACATGAAACTTAATTTCCCATTTCCAGGGTGAAAAAGGACCAATGGGGTCACCAGGCTCACCAGGCTCTAGGGGAACCCCGGTAAGAACCCGTGTAGACAGAGGGATTAAATATTCAAGGACAATGCTTGATACTAATTCAAGGTAGAGAGAATGATCTCAGAAGCCATACGTTTACTGTTGATCACACTCTCCACCAGCCTCTTTGCATTGCAGGAAAATGAGAGAAATAAATCTCTGATAGACTGCCCTGAACAGATTACAACTAACAGTAGCCCCTGATTCCAGATGAACTCTTCCCCCTTGAACAGAAGTATCCTACACAACTGATGGACTATGTGAGACAAAAGAGGTTCCTCATTTCTTTCAGATTCAGAACCTGCTGCAATACTTTCCAGTTTTGTCTTGCCATTCTGGCTAATGACAATTTCTCTGTTTCTTTTTGATTCTTCCACAGAAAGAGAAATTCTGCACAGACAAGGATTTGCATTAATATACTCTCTTTTTTTTTGTGGTGTGGGAGAGTAGCAGGGCTACCTGGCTCCTGTGTCTATCCCAGCCTCCAAATTACCCAGAGAACATTGTGCTGGTCCAATGCCTTCCACAGTCTATTTTCAAATGGATTGTCACCACCTTCATAATATATATAGCTCCTATAACAAGCATGGGAGAGCAAAATCTCTCTCTCCCCTCCCCATTACTACTTCCTTCCTCCTCCCCCTCCACTTCTTTCATGTGCCTATTTGTGAGCTCCAAAGGCTTAATTAGCATTTCCACCCAGGCCAACCCACAAATTAAACACAACACTGCTTTATCCATTCTGCCTTGCTTGGTTGGAGCTGCTGTGAGCAGCCTTTCTTGCCTGCTACCATGTCATAAGCAAGTATCAATAAGAACAGACTAATGAGGGTGGAAACTTTCCCACTTCATTTTGGGAAACGTCTTTAAGCAGCACTGGCAAAACACATTTTATAAACACATCTGTTTTTCTAGGGCGGACAGGGCCTGAATGTTTTAGGTCTTCTCTTGGCACAGCAAGACTGAAGTTGAGTGCAGGGAGCAAAAGGATAGCAAAGTAATATCCCAACACATCCACCATCACCTTCACGTTTGCTTTGCACTCAGTCACTGTGCTAGCATGTATAGTAACGTGAGCACATCACAGAGCATTGTGTGAATATCGAATTATCAAGGAAAAACCTAACCAATAGTTGCCACCGCTTCTCTACTGCTGTCATTTAATTGAGAGTGATAACTGGGGTCTAACAAGTGTCTAACAAACATCTATCTTGTCTTCTATCAGGGACCAAATGGTCGAAGAGGAGCCCCGGGTTTACAGGTAAGTTTAATTAATTTCCCATGTCTACAGTAGGGACGTAATTATTGGATCAAAAAATTAACTGGTTAAATAATTCTAATTGTACTGTTTAATTGCTTGACCATTGGTCGGCCAGTGCAGGGCAACTGGGGCTGAAGTCCTACCAGGGCTGCAGTCCTGCTGTGTTTGTGGGGCATGAGTCCTTCCTGTGAGGCACAGCTAGGGCTGCTCCAGGCCAGGATGCCTGCCATGCATGGGGCTGTGGCTCTTCCACTATGGCCCGTGTCTTGCCTACTGATTGGCTGAGCACAACCATGGCCAGGGTCCCACCTGCCTGCCACAAAGCCAGAGCCCTGGCTGCCTCTGTCACATGGCCAGGGTTCCGCTGGCTGGCCAGCCTGTTACCACCAGAACTGCTCCACCCTGGAGCGACTGGCCATTCAGTGGGGTTTGGGTGAGGTCTGGTTAACTGGCTGCCCAGCAAGCGTTTCAGTAAGTCTAATGCTTGACTAGTTAACCTTTTACATCCCTGATCTGCAGTAAGATTATTATTAGTTGGTCTGCCTTCTAAAATATTTGTAATTGAAGTCCAATATTTATTTTAGATGTGTTAGGATAGGCAAGCAGGATTTGTGCCTTTTCTCAGAGAATTAGTCTCAGCGACTTCACTGATACTACTTGTGGTCCTAGTACAGCAATGCATATGCTGCAAAATTCCCACTGACGTTAATGAGAGCTAATAGCTGATAGTAAGAATTAAAAGGGAAATTTATCCATCCAGCTAGAAGAAAAGGAATGTTGTCCTTTTAAGGGCTCTCTTTAAAAGGGGGTGGGGAGGAGGGTTGTTAAAGGAGAGTAGAGATGGACAGAAAGGACAGGAAGACTTTAGAAGCAAGTTTTTCTACCAGAGTAATTCAAATTAAAGCGTGTATTTTAGATAAGGGTAGTTGAAGAATTTATTGTAAAAACTATAGGTCTGAAGATCCAAGCAAAAATTTGGCAGTGCATGCTGGTAGTCTTGACAGACTGAGCTAAGAAATGACAAGAGGTGTTCAATGCCAAATAAATGATATTAGAGACTGAAAATATCCTACTGTTCTCCTGGCAGACCAGTTACTATTATGATCACTTGAGAAAATTACTATAAGAAACTCTCTCTTAACGCAGGGAGAGAAAGGAAAGGAAGGTCCAAAAGGTTCTGAAGGCGAACAAGGATTTCGAGGATCCCAGGTGAATATTAACATTCATCTAGATATTTTCGAGGAAAAAGAGAACTTGAAATACAAAAGAGAAATGAAAAAGTCTGTGTCCAAAAATCTAATGGCTCCGTGTCCAGACTCACACAAAGCACAGCCAATGTGTAAGTGAATATATTGTTGGTGGCTCTGAAGCACCAGTAGCATAGATTAGAATTGGTCATAGTATAGTAAAGCAGGGATAATGCAAACTTCTCACACAGCTCTATCCATTGTCCTCTTTCCTGGTTTGCAACACCTCTGATGTTCCAGTGTTGCCCCTCTGTTGAACAAATAATGGCCAAGTATGACTTCACTGGATACTGATCAGAGAGGAAACTTCTTCCTCATGTTGATGAGTGATCCAGTGAAACACCTCATGTAGCCAGTATAATTAAAGGATGTACAATCTGGCCCTGTGTGATTTTAGAACTATATTAGCCCCCTGCATTGCAAATATGGATATAGATTCGCTTTTGCAGGTACAAGGACTACAAATTGAAGAAACTGTACTAGGGATTTCCTTGAAAGTAACTCCTGGTGAGGCAGCTGCACTAAGGATATTAAAATGCAGTTAATTGACTAGTGAATGGAATTTCCCTGTGAGGCTCTTGTACATTTCAAAGGAGGAATGCGGGACTCTGCATACAGTCCCACTGACTCTGGGCTACATGCAGGTGCCTGCTTTGAAATGCTCAAGAGTCCCCAGCAGGGTTCCAAGGAAGTGCCATGGGGGGCCCAGAATCAGCTGGGGACTCCCCAGATGATCCCGGGCTCTCCAGCTGCCCCTTTGAAAGGTGCAGAGGTGGCATTTTAAAGGGGCAGCTGCTGCACAGCTGATCAATATTTCAGCTATGCAGCAGCTGCCCCTTTAAACGCCACCTTGGGGTTTCGAAGTGGCAGAGCTGCTGTGTGGTGCTGCCACTTTGAAGCACCCCTTTCCCACCTTTGCTGCCCCAATCTATAGAGGAAGCAAAGGGGGGGATATCGATAGTTAACTAGTCAATATACTGTCCGATAAGCAAATGGTTATTGGATAATCGACTAGTTGACTGATATAAAAGGCTAAATGGTGTTATCTCATAAGGCAGGGTATTTTTGCATTTATAATACATGAATGTGTGTGTTAACTGGATTTTCTGTGTCATATACTTTCTAGGGACTAAGAGGAATTGAAGGTGTGAAAGGAGAGAAAGGAACAGATGGAAATAAAGGTCTTCAGGTAAAACTACTCTGGGAAATTCATTTAGGATTCTACTCAGTGTGTGGGAGACTTCCATTTTTACTGTTTTGTTGCATTCTTTGTTTAGAAATCCCTGTACAGTTTGTCGTGATGTTCAACCAGAAAAAGAGAGATGTTTTAATAAGAAATCAAGGAATAAACTTAAAAAACAACAAATACTCTGGTAGCACTTTAAAGACTAACAAAACATGTAGATGGTATCGTGAGCTTTCGTGGGCACAGCCCACTTCTTCAGATTACCAAAGTGTCGGATGTCCAGAACCAAATGTGAAAGATCTCAGGGCCATGACAAATGACTTTACATTATAAGAAAAATATTCAATAGCTATATCGCAATCTATTTCTATCATATCGTGGCCCCCCCAGTTTATTTAAAGGTTCATAAGCATGTGTATGTATGTTTGCCTAAATATCATGCAACACAGATTAAAATAGTGTTTTAAAATCAACTGCTCAAGTGTTAAAAAATGTCAGAACTTTTGCTTTATTCTAGCACTAGAGGATTAACCCAGCATTGCTCAGGTTCTTGTGGGGGCTCAGGGCAGGAGCTTGGGGCTGAAGGATCTTGGGGGCTCAGGGCTGGGGCTGGGCAGTATGGGGGAGGGCAGAGTATAGGGAAGCCAGAATTAGGGTAGTGTGTGGAGGATGCATGAGTCAGGGCAGGGGGCTGGAGACTGTGGGGGGGCTCAGATGCTGCCTGGCCAGTAGCTGCTTTCTGGGGGGAGGCAGGTGAGGCATTGCAGCAGGGGTTGCAAACTGTTCAACTCAGGCCATTGGCTACTTTCCACTGCCTGCCCAGCCCTGACTGGGTGGC